TGGCAGCCTATGAAAACAGATAGTCATCAAACAATGAAACTGCTATCCTCTTCAATGGACAAAACTATGATAATATGGGAGCCAACTGAGATTATGGATGGAATGTGGACAGAGACAGTACGTGTTGGCGAAGTTGGTGGCAATTCTCTAGGTTTCTATGGTTGTAAATTTGGCCCAGATGGATTACATATATTGGCACATGGTTACCAGGGTACTTTTCATATCTGGAAATATTCTCAAGAAATGAACAAGTGGCTTCCACGTCCTGTACCTGGCGGACATTTCGCTGAAGTAGTCGATTTATGTTGGGAACCGAAAGGGAGGTCTGTATAAATCTTATATATAGAATAAAAGTCTTTTATATGTGATTTTAATTCTTGAACATTCAGCGATTTATAGATAGACGCAACACTTAGAAATTTTTAACTTTACATCATGTTATTATATATTCTTGAACTGATCTGCTTAATTTTTTTAATTTTAAATTGAATTTTTGTATTTTTTTCTGTATGTGCATTTAATACTTGGAAAAATATTTCTGAAATCTTTAAACTTACATTTTTTTTTATACAATTGTCCTATGTTTTTTTATGAATCATTATGTTTTAATTAGAAGTATGAAAATACGTGAAAATTATATCGAGTATTTTAGATGAGAATAGATACAGTTTAGAACCAGAAAGAAATTAATATATATGATATATATGTGATATTATGATACTGTTTACAGATTTCTCATCACAGCCAGTGTTGACCAAACTACAAGAATTCATGCACCATGGAAAGATGATGATCTTGAAGAATTATGGCACGAGATTGCGCGTCCTCAGATACATGGATACAACATGACTTGTTTAACTATGTTATCACCGCATATATATGTTTCTGGAGCAGATGAGAAAGTGGTGCGCATTTTCATGGCCACATCTACGTTTAGAGATCAATTAAAATCACTGGCGAATATCGATGATTTCAAATTTGTAAAGGCCCACAGTGCTGCTGTACCATCTCTGGGATTAACAAATAAAGCAACGTACTGCGAGGACAATGATGGAAACACGAAAAATTCAATGACGAAAAATTCATATGAACCACCTACAGAAGAGGAATTAATGCAAAATACACTTTGGCCAGAAACGAATAAGCTTTATGGACATGGCTATGAAATATTCTGTATGGCAGCAAAACACAACGGACAATTGCTAGCTACAGCATGCAAATCAACTACTCAAGAACACTCGGCAATCTTATTATGGGATACAAACACCTGGTCACAAGTTCAACAATTAAGCTATCATCAGTTGACTGTGACACAAATGGAATTCTCTCCAGATGACAAATATTTATTGTCTGTATCCAGAGATAGAAGATGGTCATTATTTAAAGCTACCAATATAGGCTACGAATTAATCGCAGCTAGTTCCAAAAAAGACAATCCTCATTCGCGAATAATTTGGTGCTGCGCTTGGACGCAAGACTCGAATTATTTCGCGACTGGATCCAGAGACGGAAAAGTTGCTATATGGTCCACGAGAACGATAGAAAATAATGTTGTACCAAAAATAATTCTGGATACGAAAAATCAATCAGTTACAGCGTTATGCTTTGCGCCAAGTCATATCACACGAGGATTTTATCTTCTGGCTATCGGATATGAGGCAGGACACATAGAGATTCAAAAAGTCAATATAGAGTTAGAGAACGTATGGGCAAAACTGTTGGAGTACGATACTTCCCAAGCTCATCATTTAACTGTAAAAAGACTCATGTTTCGACCTACTAATCACTCGTATAACGACTTGCAATTAGCAAGTTGTAGTAACGACCACTCTGTTAAGATATACAATATAGAACTATCATTGTTATTATCGTAATTTTTTTACAAGAATTTTAGATGTTTATTTCAATTGCATTATTTTTATAAAATTATGAAAACAATCTTATATGTAAAATACTTGTGTGAAATATAGATTCTAAGTAATCTGTAAAAAAAGATCCATGTTTAATTTATATATTGTTTCAATTGGCTGTACTTACTCGACTTATTTTCCAGTTCTGAGTTTTATAAATTTCTACTGTATCTTGACCTTCTGTAACTATCACTGCTAATCTCTCACCATTGGGACTAAAACGTAATTTATCAAAGGAAGATGATTTTACATTTTGTATGTACGATACCGTCTGCTCTTCCAAGTTCCAAATAGATAATTGAATCTGTAAATATCTTTTGTTTTACAATAGCACATAAGTTAGATTTTCTCTTTTCTTATAACATATTGAACTTACATTAAAATCTGCTATGGTAAAAATGTGTTTACTATCTGGGGACCAGGTAACACCTTGCAAACCTGCACTACCCTCGGTAAGTTTACATTTCCATTTGGGATAGTGTATCGAATATATCTGAACGATAGCTCTTTTTATATTCGCACAAAGAATATATTCGCTGTTTGAAGACCACTCCATATACTGTAAAGTAACGGAGATAAAAGCATAGATGTCAATATATATCAATTATCAAATCTGACACCGAATCAATGATCAAAAATGACACCGAAGACTTAATCGAACTATTTTTCTTATCAATAAAAGACTAACCTGTATCACATCCACGAATACAAATGATTGACAGGTATCGAGAGTCTTTGCATCTTTTATCAGCAGATTCGCTTGAAATGCTATCGCTAGATACGCTCCATTTTTTGAAAACTGGCATAAACTATTGTTTACGCGAAAAACTTTGTCCTCGTTAACGTTCGCGGCCATTCGCAAGGATTTGAAATCATTTGAAACCTGCAGTTTCAATGCTTGACAACTTGGTCAGTGTCGCCAATCGTAATGTTTGTGTTCTAAAAATTACAATTTGTTGAATTGTAAAAATTTATTAAATTTGTCTTTATGACTTCTGTAAACGTTTCAGAGGTCGAAACATCCATGCAAGAATTGGCAGGAAAAAAAACTGCCAGTACTGAAAATCTATAGTGCACGTGACATAAACTGTAGCATTATCAGTGCTGGCAGTAAATTTGAAACACAGCCCTAGGCTAAGCTAAGGTTGTGTTCCAAATTTACTGCCAGCACTGAAAATGCTACAGTTTACGTGCACTATAGATTTTCAGTGCTGGCAGTCAGTCAATTTTGGAACACAGTCTATGCTTTATGCTAATAATCAATTTTGTCCAAAATTCTTGCCTGTGATAAGCTGCGCTTTTTTGTTTACTGCAAATGCCGTGTCGCTTAATATGGGGAAGACTTCCAAGTGTGTTCTTTGTAACATTACGTTAATTGTTTGTATTTAAAATAAAAGGGGTACATAATTGTCGTCAACGAGAAAAAAAGGAAAAGATGATAATAAACATAGGAAAGACGCGTTCGTGAATCTACTTAAATGATGAAAGAGATTTGTTACTAATTATAGAGACCCTAAGGCCGGTATTCATAGTCAGATCTTATTTCAAGACCGTCTTAAGTAATGTCTTAAGATGCTAATACAGCTCTCTGATTGGTTCGTGACATATCAAGACTGAACTTGAGTCTTGAATATAATGGCGAATTCGATTGGAAGAACTAGTGCGCACTGGTGCATATTAAAGCCATTGTACACTAATTTAATTTAAGTATAAAAATGAAATGCAAATATTTCGAATTATGAAATACATATTTTACCTAATAGTACAATAAAATTTATTAAGTATTTCACAATTTAATCGATCTCTATGTTTATTTATAAACATATCTTTACGTTATTTCGTGTACGACGGCTTTAATGTGCACCAGTACGCACTGGCTGCATTCAGCAGACTCAACAGTTTTGCAACCGTTTTATGATTGTCTGCTGAGATAGGACCATTCTTCTAGATCTAAAAGTATGATCCAATTAGCGCGAAGGAAACTTCCAACAGTTGCAAAACAAACGTTCTGCTGAACGCAGCCAT